ATCCAGTATTTGCTAGGCGCCCTCTATTCTTGTATATAAGTGCGACAGACAATTAATCGGGATTAAATAGCAGACAGAGAGATTGAAGATATAGACGGACAATTGAGTCAAGTCCGGTAGTAAAGTGCGTGAATCGTTCGTTGAGAATGATAGCGTGTGTTTAAGTGTGGAAATTAAGTGTATTGCAAAGCTGTATTGAGAAAGAATAAACTAGTTTTATTTAAGAAAGGACTTGTATCGCTGAAGTTTATCGGGAAGAATTTCTACGGGAAATTAACAAACAAACAGAGACGTAACAATATATATAGACTATTTACTTGTTTTCAGGACAGGTTGTCGAAACCTATACGTATTTTGCCCGAGAAAAACGAACATTGAGATCAAATAACTAAAAGCCCAAGTTATACGAAAGAATCTGTATAAATGAATAACACGCTGGGAAATGTAAAAGCTGGGATCTGTTCTTGTCAAAGGGGCTCCAGTTACTTTTAATATAGGGGGAAGACACTTATAAAAACATTCACAGGACTGAAGATATCTGATACCCTGTGATAATGCTCGTAACATTATCCCAGCATAGATGCAGAAGTGTTTGTAAAAAGTAATGTCAGCACCTACACATGGTTGTTTGAATGGATATAGTTAAGATTAAAGTCTTTCTTAACAACTCGTAAGGGTTATATCCTTTCTCTGAAAAGACCTGTTGTACATCTGATGACTTTTTTTTTACGTTCTTCCTGTTTTCTTTGGCATTTGAGAATCTAGCATTCGGTTGTTTTTTCGTCTTCCGAACATGTGTGTAATCAGTTGCATAAATGTGTTCATTCATATATCAGTTTATCACATGTACACAACCATCCATTTTGTATTTAAAATGTACCAGGAAGTCTTGGAATTGTCACCGCGACTAGTATTTTATTTGTGGTCCTCGACTAATTAATGATTGTAAAGTCTTGAGCTCTGATAAAATCATTCAGACTTAGAATAATTTCTGAATATAATTCTAAACAAGCGAAAAATATAATCGATTTGCAAAAAAAAACTGAAGCCTTATGTTTTATTTAGTTTCAGAGAGACTTTTTGATAAACAGAATTTCTACTTTCTCCTAAATCAAGGAAACCGATACACCACAAAAGACGAAATCCGATAATGCTCGAGCACTTACGGAAGGTACACCTAATAGCCGAATATTTGTTAGTTCGTATGATACCCTGAAGTGTTAACAATAGATTCAATACACTGAAGTGTTACAATAGATTCGATACACTGAAGATTGAATCTATTGTTAACAACACTGAAGTGTTAACAATAAATTCAAACATATCACAACTAATCTGTCTATAGCTTCGGGAATAACCAAGGTAAACGAAAAAAATATAAAATCAATACGTGAAGAGATATTTCAGGATGATAATTTGTTTACGTTGGGAAATGTATACTGAGCACCAAGTTGGAATGAACTGTATAATCAGACCTGTTCATGTTTATGTGAGTCATGAGTCTTTGTTTATCGTACATTAGATCGGAAGTTGTAGTAAGAATTTGTTTATGTTTACGTTTCAGGCAAATTTTTGTGTCGAAAGTGTACAGCGCAGGTGCATACTGGTTAATCAAGAACTGCACGAAAATATAACAGGATGTCTGACTACAGAAATAATCGGGAAATTTGTTTTCTTTTTATACCGTTGGAGCTTTTTTTAGCTGTGTTACTATGAGCAGCTTGAAAATTTATCACCTCTGTATTAAAATAAGAACAACCATGCGTTTGAAGTTTGAACTATTTAGCCAAACCATTGTCTTGGCGTATGGATTCATGGTTTTTTACGATGCCATAGTTAATTTAATGTATATTTATGTTTAGAAAACCAAATCAAAACAACTATTTTGCTCATTTTAGTTACTAGGAGGGCGTGAAGGCATCTAGATTTATATTACTGGATATATTTTTGTCTTAGACGCAACAGCTTATCAGCAGTTTCAAATAGAATTAAAGCAAATGGAATACATATACAAGGTATTAATTTATAGGTCTGTCATTGTCACGTGACATGAAGGCTTAGATTAGTTCCAGTGTTTTGCTTTTCAGTAGGCGGTCATGGAAAAGCAACAGCATATGTAGTTTTTGCTTGTGATTTGGAATGAAAACTGTGTTGAAGGTCGTATGATACGGTAGTGTTAGATGACTACTGAAAAATATAAATTATGAATTGAGTGTTGACTAAACAAAAGCGTTTCGTAATGTTTTATTTCATCATAGTCACATAACTTGTTTAGTTTAT